CATTGTTTCGCTTGTTGCTGCATTTCCTCCTCACCCTGCTACGGTCGTCCTAGGTGGTGGAAGTACCTGGCCACCATMATGRYCAGGTTCAKTCTTATGCAAGCCAACACCCCCGGCGCACCACCCCTCTCCTTTTCCCTCTGCAACACTAACTYTCAGTCAAGTYTAATGCTACCATCACGTTCRTCCTATCACAAAAATCTCTAAAGCACACTTCTTCCCACTCAATCTCCTCAAGAATGGGGTGAGTGTAGAGTTTTCCCGACTCCTTCCTTACCCGTTACCGGCATCTCCACCTCCTCGACACTTCGCATCTGGCCCTCCCGCATGGTCATGTTCATTCGTTCTTTCGGGAGTAACGACTTCGGTTGACCGTTGTATGCTGGTGGTGGCTACGATGTGCGGCTTGCAGGGGGGGGGGGGACAAGGAAACACAAAAAACGTTGAATCTACCCATCAACAAAAACAAACAAAACGTAGGGGATGAATGTTTCGTCATAACATGGACAGATACATTCACCGTTTATCATCTCTAGTCGCGCAATCCTTACAKGRCGTAGYRGTCGCCTCATCCCGCGGATTACGAATCTGAGCTCGCCAACAGATTCGTAACGCTTAGGACCCCTAAAAAAACAACTCTTCGTTCATCTGCTTCCGCCAAGATACGGATGGGAAAAGATCTCTCGACCCTGCCATGCCTCTTCTCCACGCATCTCCCACCTCTACTAACTCTAACTCTACTTCACTAATCCCAAAACTAACATCAACATCGATTTCGTAGTCCCTAGAAACCCCAACTTACAGTTTTATTTCGCTCGATTTCATAAAGAATCGAGCGAAAACTCTTCTTATTCCCGTCATATCGCTGTTCTTCACCACCTTCGTGGACGTCCTCCTCGACTAACTTCCTGTCCTACTAACTTGTCCCTAAAATTGACATCAAATTCGAATTCGCCCGGGGCTAAGACCCCGAGCCCGCTTCTTCCCTCGCTTCAATCCGTTAATTAGCGGGGAAGATCTGAACTCTCCCTCTTCTTCACCGCCCTCCCATAGCTCCGCCACACTCCTCACACCTCGCATGCATCTAGCGTTTTTTTCCGTCCAAATCCACTCCACTGCTTTTACCACTCTATCGGTCTCGCCCTCGGCTACTTGATTCGGCAACGCCTAATGCCGCGGTTTGCCCGACGGCCCGACAGCTCCAACACCCGATGCCCTGCTGTTGCCTACCTTCTTCCCCCGCATGTACCCAGCACATCTACTCGTCCCGGTTCACTCACCACTTCCCCTTTTTCCTTCTGCCCGTGGCCCTTCCGCCTGACCTCACCGTGCTAGCGCTCGTCACCCGCTGCTATGTAGCGCTGCTCGTCTGCTGTTGCCCGCTGCGCTATCTACCCTGCCGCCCACTTCCTGTCTCCCCGCTCCCACTCTACGCTGCCCAGTATTTGGATAGCCGACTAACGACTTCTACCCGCCGGTATCACCATGGGCTTTTACCAAATTTCCTACAACCTCATTCTGTGCTCGGGCCCTCAACAGCGCAGGGACTCTCTGCTGTCCAGGGTTATGCTATGAGAGGCATCGATTTTTACTCGTCCCCTTTTCCCAGTCCCATCGCCCCCTTTCCATAGCAGCACCGCGGCAGCCCCTACGTGGTACCCTCGTCACGGAAACTCATTCATGGCAAGTCTAGCGCCCGCCTCCTAGGGATATGTCGTTGGCCCCGCCTGCTGCAAATCCTAATATGGGCCCTAGTGGGTGGGGCCCAACGCTTTTTCTAAGTAGCAAGTATTCAAATGGGAACTTTGAAGCCCGAATTGGAGGAGGGTTTCACAAACCCGCTGGGCACTCGGTGCGGTCGTGCGCCTCATCGTTGGCTGCCCCTTCTGGCCCCAATGGGCAAGCGCACACTCAACCCTCTCCTAGCCTACGTTGGGGGCGGACTGTACATCCACCACAGCCCGTGCCACCATCTGGTTGCGACCCCACAACCGTGCTCGRAATGCCCTCCGAATTCCCTACCACGTCAGGCTATCGACGCTCTCCAAGTGGGATGCGAGGGAAGCCACGACCACAGACTCCACCACTCTCTAAGCATTGACCTCTTCGGTCCGCCTCTCCGAGACGGGTCGGGTAGGGGAAATTCCGCCAGCGCCTCAACACGCATGAACTCGTAGGTTAACCAAAGGAGACGCACACTCAAGTCCCCGACCTGCCACAACGAACTTTAAATCTGGCGCCTCGCCCGAGTCAAGGGACGTCGAAGTACATAAAAAAAACTAATAAATAATAACCTATTTCAGGACTTTTTAATTGTCAGCAAACGACGGACTGCTAATATCGTTCCGACGCCGCCAACAACAAAACCAGTGGGAATAGCCCCACCGGGCTCTTGACCCGCCGGTCTCGATCCTTGAATCCCTTCAACACGAGTCGGACGCCTCAACTGCTAACGCTAAACCCAAGTATGGGTTTGGCGCTGGCGGACGCCTAAATAAACAGGCGCTGCGCAACGCGCCCCCGCTACCGGAATGCCTTCAGAAGTCACTTGGCCGTCGATGTCGTCCTCAGTACGTACGCACAGGTCAAGCACATCAATCAGTGAGACATAATCTTTTTAACCCCTGTTTAATCAGAAGAGAAATTCCGGTCGGCGATCACGCCGACTCTTCAGTCATCAACAAATAAGAAGATCACGCGCGCCTCAAAAATCCGCGCGCCCACACACTCTTTATCCTAGCCAACCGTCTGGTCAGCCTTGACCACAGACGCAGCCGCGCCTCGCGCAGAATACTTAATTTTTAAACCAAAGCTATTTTTTGCCACTTGCAAAAACCAGGGTGGATACCCTTGTAAGGGTATTCGCACCGACAGCTTACCGGACCATATTAAGCGACGTCCCCGTCGCTTCGCCAAATTAGAAAGTTATAAATCCTTCCAAAATTCCAAATGCTGACGAGAAAGGAACCAATCTGATTAGCCGACAGACTCAGGTTAAAGCTCTCCAACAATCTATGCCCACACAACTATATGTTGTCAGGGTTTCAACCCGGGTCCCCATTGCCCTAACATTAGGACGCCGGTGTATTACGCATCAATACTGCAGCATAAGATCCAAAGGCCTCCTCAAACCGTCCTCTCCCCTTCATCCTAGATAAAGGCCGGCTTCTCGTTGAGTGCCCCTGTTAGGCTCTTTCTCGTAAGCAGAGTCATACTCAGATACGCGGGCCTTAGATGGGACCTCAGAAGGCACTCTCGCCTTCCTCACAAAATCCTCACAATCAAGCACATATACATATATACACTTAAATCCCATATCAACTTCTTCTGCAGTCTAGTACAGAAATGCTAGGTCTCCATCCTGGCCCACCATAGTCTGGTTGATCGAGCCAGATCTACGGCCTACCGCATTGTTGCTTTAGCGGTAGTATCCTCTCGTTGGTTATACAACGATAAGTATCCTCCAGATAAGCATTCAATCAGGACTCCTGAAAGATTCGACTCATATTCCCCGCCATCCCACCGGAGTAATTCCCTGCGGCGTGCATAACCCCTTAAACTCTTACCCCGTTGGTAGACGTGGTTCCGCAGCCAGGTTGTGCTGGCTTGCAACCATCCAATAGGGGTTGCGCCCTAAAGGTGCCAACCCTTACCGTTTAGCTTGGTATTCCTCAATATGCCCTAGGATTAGCACAAGTGTCTAGACGGTGCGTCGCAAAACAGACCACAAGCCCGCAGCGGGACTACGCAAGGGTCTGCCTCACTTTGAAAAATGTTTACCAGCTCCCTATGGGACAACATAGAAAGCACGGCCCCTTCTCACGATCACAAACAAATTCACCGCTAGGGTCACACAAGGTTGTGGCCTACTGATTTGATCAGAGACAACAAACCTCACATCCTACGACATCTTAATGCACTGACTTGCGACCTTCTCAGTTCCTCCAATGATCCAATCCGTAATTTTGGTTCCTTTCGTCAGACTTTATAAACTCAAACCTTGCTGACCATGCCCTTAAATCTATTAACCACCTTTCATAAGAAGGAAGTCTCTCTCAATATGTCTCCCAACCATCCCTCTCTTTCTAGGATGAGCTATCACGCGACCCTTTTTAAAACACCTTCCCTTTGAAGATGAGTCTTCCAATAAACAACACTACCACCTTCCTTAGTCTGAAAGGGGCTCAACCATAAAAAAACTCAAACTGAGAGGCCTACTTATGGGTCCTCTCCACAACTCAACCACGAAACAACTTAACTGAGAGACCTGTTTATGAGCCCTCTTCGCAACTCAACCGTAAAACATCCGGCATGGTAAGTATTCGAGTCTTAGAGACTCGCAAAATCCCTTAGGATTCTCACACTTCTGTCACACAACAAACTGCACTGCCCCTCCTTATACTCGGCCCTATCACCCGCCCGTGGGCAGATCGCACGAGTATAACGGAGAGTAGACAGTTCACATCCATTCATTCTCACAAAATCCACAAAAAATCACCATTCATCAGGATAAAACCCACACATGTGAGAGTGATTGTGATCGTCATATATAAATGGTAGTCTCAGAAAAAATCTCAACTCAATATATACACAGGGGTACAATATCCCATCTCAACCGAAACAAAATATAGTCTTGAATTACAACTATACACACCGAGTCGAACAATCTCAACTCAAGCTGGCACCAGTGGTCCAGCATTGCCCAAAAATCATAGCCTCCTTAGTCGCAGCTAAACTGAAACAACTCTAAACAGGGCGTAACCGCACCCCTCGAACTGGAGGGATCCAAGTAACCCAAAACGTATTCAATTATCCAACCCGTACACAAGGTCCATCAGACCTCAATCAATCATAAGTTTACAACATCCTCGAATCAAGACATAGTGCATACTCCCCTCTCATATCTCAGCACAACTTGCATAGCAAGAGGCTTAGCACACTAACCCTCGAGATCATAACGTCCTGAAACCATAAGTGAGGACCCACTCTCACATTTTGATCGCGCTATAGCCATTTTATCCCTAAGCGGTCATAAGAGTCTGGGAGCCACTTACCCCATCTACCTTAAGGTCTCTTTAGGGTCCCATATACACTCACAACACCTTAGTGTATACACTCTTCCCCGCTTATTTAGTATACAGTCAATCCCTTGTTGGCTAAAATACGAGGCGTGGGACCACACAATCAAGAATCGCGCTATCCTACTTCTACGTTCACATATACAAGATTGAATCTATTATAGTAACCCAACCCAAAGCGGTCCAGGACTATCCCTTGACTGATTGCTCCTCGGCTCACGGGTTAGAGTCTTGCCTTCCCTCACACTACTATATTCCCTCTAACCCCACCTCCTTCCATCACCTTTTACACCTTCCAGCCACCCTATTCTCCCTTTGGCCTTCCCTTGGCCGCCTTTCCTACCCGACTATCGTTCATTTGCTGCTTGTTATGCCTTTTTCTTCCCCACATCCCCCTTGTGGTTTCGCTGGTGTCCATCGTGCCCTCCAGTACCTCCTCTGTCTCTACCTTGCCCTTTATTGTTGCGCCCTCCATCCCCGCGGCCTCTTCCAGCTCCCCGCCCTTGGCTTTCTGCACCGGTCGTGTCGCCTTGTGGCACCCGCTGTGTCGGTGGCTGCAACAGTCTCATAGGCAGAGTTGGTCGAATCTGGACTGCGGGAGGCCTAGGCGGCATCATACTTATTTGTGGGCCCAAACAAATGCCTTGCATCCAGGAAAGATATGGATTATATATAGGCCTCGGGCCCACTTTACCGTATGGTGTCCACGACCCGTACAATGCCTGCTCGGTCAGTGGAGGTCCCGCCTGTGCCGGCTTGCCTCTCAATTCATGCGGGGTGGCCCCTCCCTGTCGCATGCCCTGCCCCTTTCCGTTACCTTGGCCTCCCTGGGCCCGATTCCTCGCCTTCCGCTGAGCCTTTGTCAACTTGGGAGGTTCAGGCTTCCCTTTTCCTCCCGTCACACCCTTCTCTTGACTTCCTTGAGGGGTACGGCCAATCTTTCCCCAACGATCACATACCACCCTTGCCCAGTGCTCTGGCCACCACTCACTCCTTTGCCTCTCCCGACCCGCAGCCGAGGATGTTTCCACGTTGATGAACCCTCTCTTCGGATCAGGTGCAATGACAGGCAAGGCCATATTAGATTCCCGCTCCTCCTTTACCTCAACGACCCCCTTGCCTTCGCCTCTTTCCAGGGTGCGGACTCGTCCCTTCGAAGTTCCCTTGTGGAGGAGTAACTTCTGATGAACTTCCCTTGCCTCTGCCTCACCCTGCCCAACCGGCCCACTCGATGCTCCTTCAAGGGCCTTCCTCTTGCCACGCCTGGCTTCTTCCAGTCGCGTCAACCTTTCTTCTAACATCCCAACATGCCTCTGTATACCGCTCAACTCTTCTTGTGTTGACGCAATCCCAGCTGGACGCTCAAGGCCTTCACCAAGCTGGCTTTCCACTCCATCCTCTGAAAATCTTAACTTCAGAGAACTTTCCAGCTCATCCCAGGTCTGCGACTTTAGCGTAAGGGTATACACTTCCTCACTCAACTCTTCGCAGACAAACAGTGGCAACATGCTCCACATCGCTTTCTCGTCCCACCTCTTCATGAGACCGAAGTCATGATAGCCGCGTAGGAAGGCAGGCAGATTTCTTCCCTGAAACAGTAGGGCGCGAAGCTCTGGGGGCATCGAGTCGCTCACTGACTCGCACAACAACACTTTACTGAGGCACGTACTCCTCCAGGATAGGATTTTGGCGAAACTGCTCTTTTCAGCCATGATGCTGGTACCGGCCTGACACGCATGACAAGCAGTCGACCATCAGGTTGGGGCGCAAGACAGCTTAAAACAAACAGGGCTAGTAAAAATTGATTACTACCCGTCTCACACCAACCCTCTCCCCATTTATACAATATGGCCCTAACTTTAGCTAGAGGGTTCTATAGACAATATACATCCCACATAGGCAGAGCCCTCGAAGCCGATCTTAGGCAGACAGTAAACAAGGTTACCAATGTTACTGACCCTCGTACTCGTATCATAGGCGAGGCTCCCCCTCACGTCCTAACCGACCTTCCCATGGCTTTAGACACCTGGTCTAAGGAAAAACCCTATCCGGGCTAACTTGGAGCCTCTCAAGATCCGTTATATACACCTCACACACCAGAATACATTTGTACATGCCTCGCAACCCATCTGATACATCTTGCCGACTAACACACAGGGGCTCAGTTTACACAACTGATTGGCCTGCCGTCTTAGCTCCCATATCCATTTACATGTTCAAATCCATAAGAGACATACTCCAACAGGGTACAGGGGCACCCTCTACCGGCCAGCTATCGCACGAACCTCATCCCAGTCTACAGCCTCCCCATCGGGATCATGGGAGCTTACATACGCATCAACCACCTTGGCCACGTCCCTGAGTTCTTGGCTATAGGGTAAAAATTTCTGGTCCAAGTACAACCCATATATCAGCTCGCACGTGTATCGTGCATACTCCCATTCGCGTGCCTTCACAGCGGCTTCTGCAGCGGCTTCCACTCTTGCTTGTCCCCCAAACCTTTCTTCTACTAAGACCTTTGGCAGGGTAACTTGTAATGAGGCTGAGGGAAGTGCAAACTCTTTCGTGTGTTTGACCTCTACCTGGATCACCACCTGCTCTCCCCTTTTCTGAACCCTGCCTCTTGCCCATTTTGCGGCGGCTGCCTCAACCACTCTCAAGGGTTTCGCGAGTAGGCTTTCATGCCCAAGTGCCAACTCTATCCCGTGCAAGACCCAGAATGATGGTGAGGCGTACAGCGTCGCCCTCATAATCACGCAGTCCTGATCATCACTAAGGTCAGACTCGATCCAAATAAAGACCCCTTTATCTATCGACATGCCCCACTAAGAAGAGATATACTCTCCTTCTCTGACTTGCCTCGGCAAGGATATCTTCAGCCCATCCCGCTGTTTAACTGGTAGGGCCACACAGGGATCTTCCTTCGCATAAGGCATCCTGAGTTGCCTTCGCTCTGGTCTGGGTTCTGCCCATCACAGAAAACGCCCAACATACGCCTTCCGTTATTACACTGATAATCGCACTCTAACATCTCTACCCTTATTTGAGGAGCAGTCCAAACACACAAGCCGTACTAGATAGTCATAAATTGATAATTGGACTCGAGGCACTCATGCAAATCCTTGCAGACTTAATAGTTCAAATACATGCTTCAAATACATGGTCCATAGAAATATTTCTGACAGGGATGACCATTAAAGGAATATAGTCATCAAGCACATAGCCTCACATAATCAGACGTTAGGTAGACTTACTCAGGTAAAATCTGGCACGTATGGATGAGTTCAATATACAACTCAAAAGAAGTGTCCTTAGACAAGAGTAGTCTCAAGTCCTTAGCTCCAACCCATAGATTGAAGTGGGTGACCCGAACCTGGAAAGATTCAAGCAAAGGTCTAACATCATCTACACCCCACCGCCTTGTTAAAGGTAAGCAAAAAAGTCCAAGTGCTAACCCTTTCACTGCTATCCTGACTGCTCATAGAATCAGATATCTTTCTCGCAGAGAGGTTACTATGCAGACCTACAACACCTCGTAGTCTCGTCCATTAAGGTCATAGCATGATGTTCCTTGCATCTATCTGTTGCCTTATACACCTAGTTCAAACACATCACGCGGGACAGGCCCTACATTATCATGACTATATCGGTCGAACAACCGCTTAGAACCCAGACTCCCGGGTCTCAGTCCATACTAGCCTAACCCTCCTTGAAGTCTCTTGACGACTTCCAACTTAATAGGCCCCTTTACACATCCCCAGCCTCACTCTAAGGCAAAGGTACCCAGTTGCTCTCATGACCATTAAGATAATTCTTCTGACCACAATAGGTCCCTTACAGGGCCAACTCCCACAACCATAATGCTTAGTCATGTTGATACCACCACATCTCACCTTAGCCATATCAACCATACAAGGCACCGTCCAAAACTTACCAACTTTTAGGGTCAGAAGAGGGTATCAACTCCATCTACTACCATGCTAGTTAGAGTACGTGATCGCATAGTCAAAACGTTTGTCCTCCTTGCCTCATCATTACGGTACTAGCCACAACCATCTCACACAATCAACTCTCACTCGCCCTCAATCCAATGTCATTGTCGACTAGCCATAGAAAACTCAACAAAAACGACTCGTTTTGCCTAGTTCTCACAATCCCATACCCGAATGTCGTTCCACCAGGGACAACGACAGGCAACCGTTATCCCCGACAACGGCACCACCTGTCGAGCGCATCGGTCCGGCACCGCACAAGGCAGTGCGGGACCCTCCCGGTCGTGTCACGCAGGAGTTTGTTTAAACCATTCGTCACAAAATATACATGGAACTTCCGCAAGCCGCTCCGCCTGAGTGCGTCAGCCATACCTCCCGCGAGCCTTTACGATAGGATAAGGCCTACGCGAGGCACGACTTACCTCCACCTTACGGGAGCTATCACCTCCCTTCCGTGGGCGTATCCCCGCCAAGCTACCAGTCCACAGTACGAAAGTTAATCAGTTGCAATCGCAGAGGTGGACCAGCCAAGGGCGTTTCTCGTTCGTTGTAGCATAGGGGGTACGCACGGTAGTACGCCGTTATCGGATCCGCACGCGAACCGACATCTTGGGGGGCTGAAGTCCCAAGCGCAACCCGTCGTCGGTCGATTAGGATGCATCCCACTCACCACGCATACACCACTCTACGAACGCAAAAATAAAACACACACAAACACATCAAACAACGCGACAATACTCCTAGTCCCTTAGTAGCCATCCCATAACTTTCCGATGCGGAAATCGAATAGGCGTCACGCGCGAGACTTGATATAAGACCGCGCGAACGCAGTGCTAACTCATATCGACTCGCAATGCAAACGTACGCAAGCAGTCGCAATGATGGCGTACTATGAAGTGCCCATAATCAAGCGGTCCCTCGGGGATCCGAATACTGCTTATGACACTCAATTGTCAGACTCGAAGTGTCGTGAGGGTCTAATCCCTCACGATATTGCACGGCTAAAGGAATAGTCGTGCAGCCGCCGCGAGACCTCCGGCCTTTGGTCAGAGCGCCTCGGTAGGCAAGGCAAATAGGCTCTGCACGGGGGCAGATTCCTTCCTTGCAGAGTCTAGGGCTTGGGGTGTCCTGGACAAGGACCTTGAATCCCGACCCAGGACCAACGTCCGACTATAAAAATCTCTAAAAAGCAAAGGATAAAAGGGGATCCCCCTTTTCTCTCAAACAGGTAATTTGTTTAACCTTTACTCGCAGTCACAATAGGCCACACGAAACACTCAAGGCATATATATACACATATGTATAGAGGGTTGTTAATATAGGACGATCACTTCTCACAGTCACAGCGGGACTCCTCTCAGCAGTATATATGTATGTGATCGCAGGCAATCAAATCCAGAGTCCGAACCACAAACACACCTGCAATCACATCAAAGATCCAACAAAAGTCCACGCACTACACGGGGTTAACTTTAACCATTCTCTATGGTCATACCCCTTGCTTTAGCCATACAAAACCTCACTCTTGTGCAACTCCCCGAAATAAATACTCAGTACTTTTGGTAAATGGCCATTCAATAAAGTCCAGGTGAAAACACAATGAAACAAATCAGACCACAGGGCTAAAGCCTTTACAGTGGCAAGAGTGGATTGGAGTTGAATCGTAAACCGACGAATCGGCAACCGACCTGTTATTAGTGATAATAGAAGGTGATCCTTATAGGATCAAGCTGAATCTGGCGGCACACTGTCCACATCCCAGCATATAATCGTCATCAACTGAAGCTGGCGGCACACTGTCTACATCTCAGCATATAATCGTCATCAACTGAAGCTGGCGGCACACTGTCCACATCCCAGTATATAATCGTCGTCAACTGAAGCTGGCGGCACACTGTCCACATCCCAGCATATAATCATCTGAAGCTGGCGGCACTCTCACCATGTCGCAACAAATATTGAGGGCACACTGGCCACGTCTCAGCATGTTTGGGCTGATGCTAGACGGCTCTCGGGCCTCGCCTCATCACTCTGTCCGAACTCGGAATCAAATTTGCATCTCTAAGTATGAATTTTCGGAGCCGGGAGCCGGATACTATACCATGGGATCTCGTACCATGCATCTCTGCTAACTCATAGGCCTTGCCTTCAACCTCTCTGATGATCCTGAATGGTCCCATCCACCTGGCCTCCAATCTCTTGGTCCACTGTGTCTCGAAAGATGTATCATGTAGAAGTACAATATCTCCGACCTGAAGTCGTTCCTTCCTGATGTACCTCTTGCCGTTCCACCATGTCTGATCAGATAATCTGTTGTTTGACATCCTCTTTGTGGCCTCAATTATGGCCTCATCCACTTCCTTGATCTGCCTGATCCTTTGCCTCAGTAACTCCTCTGTGGAGTACGACTCTCTTTGTGCCTCATGGGTCCAGGTCTCAACCAGGTTCTCAAGGGGAGAAGTAGCATATCTGCCATACCAGAGTGTAATGGGCGCATAACCTGTAGTCCGTTTGACAGTCACATTGTCAGCATAGACTGCCGCCATTAAGAAAGATGGCTAGTTCCTGGAGTCGCCTTGACACCATTTCGATATATCATCCTTCAGTGTCATGTGACCTCTTTCCACTGGTGCATTAGGCTGAGGATGATATGGTGTCACAAATCTGATCCTGACTCCAAATCTGAACATGAGCTTCCTGACCATCTCGTTCTTGAACTCTGATCCCTGATCAGCCACAAACTCACGCATGAAGGGGTACCTTAGGTAGATTTCCTCGATCCAATCTGCCACTATCTTTGCAGTTTTCTTACGGATGGTTTTTGCTTCAACATAGCCAGACATGTTATCTCTCATGTTTAGTACATATTTCATTCCATCCTTACCAGGTGGCATAGTAATTAGATCAAGGTGAACAGTATTGCTAGGTTCAACAAGAACAGTGGGGTATAAAGGTTCAATCAATCTCATAGATAACCTTTTTCTGACAGGCTTCACATGACTTACAATATCTCGTAACCATATCCCTTAGACCATCCCAGTGATATAGTCGAGATACTTTATAGTATGTAGCATCAGCACCCCTATGACCCCCTGCTAGACCCTCATGCAGTGCGGCGATCACCTCTAGTTGCCTTTCCTTACCACACACTATTCTTAGTGGCGGTAGTCCTTTCTTAGCATCCACAAAAAGGTGACCCCTACGCAGCCTAAAGGTTCTCTTTATTTTCTCATGATAGAATTCATCCAACTGATTACTGCTCATTACCATACTGATCCTCTTATATTCCCCATCATACTCATCCTTCTTAAATCTCTCCTCAGCGTCTTTATCTTGCGCAGGGTCTTCCGGCTCTTCCTCTATCTCATTCAGCCTTCGTTCAACCATCCTTGAACTTTCTGCCAGCTCATGAGCTGCAACAGCGGCTTGTTCTACCATCCCATACCATCCTTCCCCCTCATCCTCTCGAGTTAGAAGGTAATGGAGATAAGGGTCTTCCTTTTCCCCCCAGCAGTCTTCCCTGCTTGTTGCTATGGCTGAGGCTGTATAACAACTGGGAGCTGGAGGCAGTCCTTCATCATCGTCTTCGTCAACGAAGGGTGCCTCCTCAAGAGATTCATCATCTATTGATCCCCATTCTACGCGGCTCAATCCATCGGCTCGATTCTTTTCAATGGGTAATTTTTCTAGTACAAAATCATATGTCCATATGTGAGCTATCCACCTACTGACCGTAGCATCTACTTGCTGATGCCTCTTTAAAAGCTCCGATTACCGCTGTGGAATCCGTTCTTAGAATGAATCTCCGCCTCATAACATAGTGTCTAAACACCCTGAGACAGTGCAGGATCGCCAGAAGTTCCTTCCTGAACTGAATATAAGCCTCTCTCGACCGAATTAAGGGTGCGACTCTCAAATCTAAGTGGCCTTTCTTTACCATTCTCATCTCGCTGCACGAGCACCCCTCCCAATGCTATTGGGCCATCGTCGGCT